CATTTGTATTTGATAACTGCACTCTTGGTCTCTCAAGACAAATCTGTAGATATTTTTTAAAATTGTTTTAATTTACTTCACCTAACTCCCACACATCCTTTTTATGCTATTATATTGATTTGAGAGGAGAGAAAACAATGACATTTTTTAATAGTACCTTAAAAACAAGAATAAGGCATTCCATGCTTCTTTTGTAAGTTAACACAATATTTAAATGCACATTTGATATTGTCTTGGTTCACAGAGAATTCTTCTGTGCAAAGTTTCAAATTACCAAAATGTCTAACTTTTCCTTTGAGGAGGATGTTTGGTTAGTCAATAAAAAATTAGAAAAGCTTACATTTCTAAAAGATATAAAAGCCATTAAACTCCTCCTTTTATATTGCTCAGATGAATTTATTCTTGCATGTGAGGCATCATAAATACACCCAAGCAGACTCAGTTTGGATACTTATACAATATCTGTATTTGTTGCCCTTGAAAAAAGCATCACAATATGGTAAACCACTGGATGTGTGTACAGCCCAAGTTCAGATCAACCAACTTTTAATTACTCTTCAAATTTTAAAACACAGATTTTCCTATCTGTAAATAAACACATAATCTGGCCTTAATTATGATTTTGTGCTCCTTTATCTAACCTATACTTCTCAGTACAGTATGAAGGTTTTCTCTCTTTATATCCACAGAATATAATGTTTGTATAGTTCACCCCCCACAGGCACTGAGAAATCACAGAACCTCTTGCTGAGCAGCTCATTGTGACTTAACTTAAGCCAGTATTTGGCTCTCCTGATTTAAGCAGACTTTGTCTCTTCAAATAACTGTGAACAACTTAAATATATTTCAGTATTTTGCTTAGTTGAGGCCAGGTTTCCTGCAGGATGTGTGACTGGTAACTATCCACAGTGATTCAGCCTGCAGGTCACAGACTCAGAGCCAAGGAAGAATAGAAGGAAGATGTCTGTGCGCTCATCTGAAGCAGCCTTGGATGTAACAAAGCCTATTTTACAGATGTCCAGACTTCCACTAGCAACTGCTAAGGTTTCCAGGTGAAACCCTGAAAAACTGAAAGAGGTGGAAACCACTGAACAATTTCAGAAGAACTCACATCTGTTATAGAGATTAGATTATGCCCAGCATAACTCCCATAATGGAAAAAAAACAGGGCTAAGATAGCCAGGACCTGGGTTATCGTGTAGAATGTGTCAGGTGTGTGTCACTAATTGGAAGGCTCCTAGAAATTAAGTCATAAAACTGTAACACGCACTGAAAGTTTTACTCTATCAAAATACTCTTTCAAAGTATGCTTGAAAAAGCTATAATTCATTACTTTGCCAAGCAACTTACACAAGAGAAGAGTTTTTTACTATATAAATAACATATTGAGCTGTTACTATCTTAGAGAAATTTATAAACTGTCAAGATTTTTATAAAATGATATAATTCAAGCTAGTATTCACCAAGATTAAAATGAAATGTTTACAGAACACAATAAGCATACGATAGAACTATCAACTTTGTGTGCTGGGAGCTGATGCTGGTAAATCAATACAGCTGCTAGGGCAGTAGGCATTTTAAAAATCAGTATAATAAATAAATAAATATGAGTTGACTTACACTTTAACACTGTGTGTGCAGAGATGCACTTCACCTTGACACAAATAATACATGTTGGATAACCACCAGAGATGACATTCTTTAAAGCACTGAAGAAATTACATGATCAAAGGACTGGACTGGAACTCAAAAGTTATTTCCAGGCCCACTGAGTGACTGATCTAATGGAAAGTTTAACCTTCTTATGACTCGGTTTTTCCATCTGTAAGATAAGGACACTATAAGAACAGTATTTGAAAACTCTTCAATAAGCAAACTATTATCAAAATTAACTATGGCTAGAAATGGTACATTTCTGACGATAGTCATGTTTATGCACTGAATTCTCCTGAAGCAATTATTGAATTATTGGGTTTGAAAAGCAGCCAGGAGAACTGCATCTGGGAAGTTGAAACTGGTTCCAAGCCTGTTATTTCTCTTTAAAACTCCTAAAGAGCTTACAGCGTATGCAGTGCTGACCTAAATGCAAGGTGAAAAATGTAGAAATAAATGAAATGGCACAACGTGGTCTCTGATTAGTAGAAGATGGAAAAAGAGAATGGCAGAAAAACCAGGATAAGCAGCTTAAACAGGCTGTAGGTAGCCAATGCCCAGTCTGGCTGGTGGAGACCAGCTTGGGAGAGAATTAATACATCCTGTTTTTTTCAGTTCCATGTTGAATGCATCTATAAGGTCAGCCTTAGGATGGCTTTAATTTAATATGATGTGTTTTAAAAAAAAATGCAGATATTAAGGGAAAACACATTATTCAATTAACTTCAAAGTCTTTACTTCATGTAATATCAGGTCTTTCTAAGAACAAGTCTGCAGCTGACCTGAAAGGTTTGTAGACTCTAAGGATCCCAATGGAGTTCTTAATAATGAATTGCAGTTTGTAGGGTATAGCTGTCAGGAGGAATAAAGAAAAGTAAATTTTTTTTTTTTCTAAAAGAAAAAAATATACCACAATTTACACAATATACACAAATTTAGTGAAAACTTTGAGTAAGATTCCCAGTCTTTAGAAAATATTTTCTGACATTTAATTTGGACACAGAAAGAATTTGCAGGAAAAAAGATAAAAAGATAAAGACAAGACAAGGAAACAGGGCTAGTATCTGGCTCTAAGTTACCCTGAACTGTTTTAAAATAGGAATGAAGAATATCTCCATGCACCTCGAGGACAAGCAAAAGGGATATACCTTTATATCACGAACTTCAAGTTCTGCTTCCTTAATTCTCAAACAATCTAAACACCATGACAGATCCAGCTTCTCCCCTTATGTTTAAAATACATTCACAGCCAATTTCTGGAGATTTAGTCAGATTCTGGCAAATTAGCAAAGTTTCTTGGAGTCAACAACTGAAAGTAATATGGCTTCTGGCAGGAGTAAGTATTATGTTCTGCATTAGTGTGATTGAATCTCTGTTTAGACCAGGTCATGCGGAAGATGGAGCATTCAACTTTCGACATTTTATTTTAACAAAAATGTCACTTTGCCCTTATTCCGTAAGCAAGTCTTAGTTTATCATCTACCTTACTGCGTGAGCAGAAACAGAGCACACTGTATATCACATCTGATCAGGTAAAGTGATATACTATGCTAGTATTAGTACTAGTGCTAATTTATATGACTAAATAATGTATAAATGATGAAGTCTGTAAATGTGTTTAAGGAAATATATATTTTTCAATAATAAAAAGAGTTTAAACTTTTGGTGTTCAAAGAAAAGTGCAGGGGACTAATGGAAAAAATGGGTAAGGCAGTACATATAAAAAGATAGATGCAAGATCACAGGAAAGAGTATTACAGAACTTGGAATAGCTTCTTTTAGGGAACAGATTTAAATAAAGGCAAGCCAAAAACATATTATTTCTAGAAATATACTGAAGCTGTAACATTTAGATGTTTACATTTTATGACACTAGTGACTCTAGAAATTTGATATAGACTCCATATCTTACCCTCTTACTTCTTGATAGAAAAAAAGGCTATTAATGCAGAATAACATTTACACTAGTAACACCAATTCATAAACATATTTTCATCTGAAATCAAACAGAAGGAAATTTTGCTTCCTGAACTCCTGCAAAGACAGATTCCTGGCTCTAGAGATTTAAAACATTATTCAGGAAGGTCTGAATGAAAGTCCAAGTAGAAGAGAACACTAAGAGTAATGATAACAAGGAGTAAGAGAAAAGAATATCTAAGAAAGGAATTATTTTTAGTTTATTGACCATTTCAAATGTTGAATTCTGCTTGAGTGGAGCATCAAACAGGTGAGTGAATGGAGAATCGTAAGATAAAGTGACATGTACAGTAGCAATAATGGGAATAGAAGTGATGGTAAGCTCTCTACTCAGAGATGCAAAACCTTTCACTGACAAGACAGCAGTTCTTGGTAAAGACAGGACGTCCCCAAGTAGATGGTGGCAGTATTACTGATGCACTGCAGTTCTGGAGAGGAATGTGTATCAAATTAATGAGAACTGAAACTGAAACTAGCCATTTCCCTCACAAACTGGCCATTATTCACCACACGGATCAGTACAAGTTAGAGGCCGACCTGCTGGAAAGGAGCTCCGCAGAGGAGAACCTGAGTGTCCTGGTGAGCAACAGGTTGAATCAGTGGCATGCCCCTGTGGCCAAGAAGGCTGATGGTATACTGAGGTACATGAAAACAAACGTGGCCAGCAGGTCAATGGAGGTGGTCCTTGTCCTCTACTCTGCCCTGGTGAGGCCACATCTGAAGTACTGCATCCAGGTCTGGGCTCCTCTGTTCAAAAAATACAAAGATCTTCTAGGTCTAGAGGAGGGTCACAAAGATGTCTAAGGGCTTGTACCATCTCCCTTCTGAGAAAAGGCAGAGACACCTGAGACTGTTCAGCCTGGGGGCTGAGAGGGGATCTCATCACTGCTTATAAATATCTAAATTGTTGGAGTTAAAAGAATAGGGCCAGGCGGTGGTGGCGTGCAGTGACAGAACAGGGGGCAACAGGCACAAGCTGCAACACAGGATGTTCCATAGAAACACAAAGAAGAAATTATTTTTTGTGAGGGTGACAGAGCACAGGAACATGTGTCCAGAGAGGTTGTGGAGTCCCCTCTGGAGATATTCAAAACCCATGTGGACACTTTCATGTATGGCCTGCCATAGGAAGCCTGTGTTAGCAGGGGGTTGGACTCCATGATCTTCTATAGAGGTTCCTTCCAACCCCTATGATTCCGTGATTCTGCTGTTCATCTTTCTTAGGCTGACTGAATAAACTTGATTGAGGAACTTCTTGAGTTTCCAGCGCTGCCTACAAAGGAAGATCTTGGAACGTGATGACAGGTGCAGGTACTTGTGGGAATATTATGGGTAATATAGAAGTGTTCATTTATAAAAATGGAATCATTGGGATTTTATTTTATTGGTAACATGCTGTATTTAGGTATAGCCTGGGCTTTTATTTTGGCTGAAGGCTAGATCACAAACTGCCTCCTAAAAGCCTGGGAGCGGCATTGTTTCCACGATAAAGGAGAGGAAAAGAGCAGGAGCTCTCTGTACCGCTTGTGGGAAGGGCGATCCGCATGGAGACGTTTGAACAGGGCAGACGCATAGCGCGGTACTTTCTCAGCGCCCACGGGGATGCAAACGACAACGCGAACAACCGGCTGAAACCGCAGTAAGTGGAGCAAGGCGGCGAGCAGGTAAACACCCGCAGGGAAAAACGAACGGAGCGCGTGAGGGGGGGGGGGGGGNNNGGGGGGGAAGTCTTACGAAGGCTAGCACAGAAATTACAGGCTAAAAATTAACCGCGGTGGGTAACTCGGAGCCCGATTGCGATCAGCCGCTCGACCGGCTGCGGGCCGACCCGCGCCTCAGCCGCATTCCTTCACGCCCGGCTCGGCCGGGGCCGCCCTCCCGCCAGGAAGCCGCCCATCGGCGCTGCCTCGCGGGCCGGGCGGCCGCTGAGGGGGCAGCCGGCCGCAGGCAGGCAGGTGAGGAGCGGCGGAGGGGAGGGCGCCGCAGGCCCCGCCCGCCCGCTCGCTCTCCCAGGCTGCTCCGCGCCGCAGCCGGGGGAGGTGGAGCCGCTTTATCGAGAGCCCAAGTGGAAATTTCCCCCTCAGTTGCCGGCTCCGCCGCGGAGGAGACATCAGACCGAGCTGCGCGTCCTTGTCGTTCTCGCCCGCCGCCATGTCCAACTACATCCACGTCCCGCCCGGCTCCCCGGAGGTGCCTAAGCTGGACATCACCGTCAGCGAGCGGGAGGGGCCCGGCTGCCGCCAGGGCGCCCTGCAGCTGCTGCGCCGCCTGCGGCCCCACTGGAGACCCGAAGAGGTGACGCTGCAGGTACGGCAGGCCGGGGCCGCGCGGGAGGGCGGGCGGGCGGGCTGGGGATGCGGCGTTGTGGGGCCGGGGAGGGAAGGGAAAGGGAAGGGAAGGAAAGGAAGGGGGGCGGGCGGCCATTGTGCGGGGGAGAGCCGCCGCGCCGCCGTCCCCTCCCCCTCCTCTCCGCAGGCAGCCCCCTGCGCCGAGCCCCATTCGCTCGGCTGCTTGGCGGCGGGGCGTGGCGGCCGGCAGCATCCCCTGCCCCCTCCTCCGGCTCTCGTTTTCCTCTTCCTCCTTTCGCAGCCCGCACTCTGGAACTTGGTTGCCTCCGCCCCGCCGCCCGCGCGGGGCCGGCGAAGGAAGGCAGGGGATGGTTTGCCCCCGCCGTGCCTTCGGAGCCGGCGGGCTGCGCCTCCCGGCGCCCGGACGGCAGGAGGGCGGCGAGGGGCGGCCGCTGAGGTAACGGCGCCGGGGGCTGAGGCGCGCCTGGGAGCCATGGGCGGGCGCGCCCCGCGTGTTCGCGTGTAATAAACGTCAATAAAAGCCTCGGGTCGCTGCGTTTTTCTTCCGTGTCAGCGGTATCTCGGTAGGTATCTGCCCCGCTAGCGGCCTTGCTCGCCTCTCAGCCCCGAAGCCTCGCCTGGTGTTGAGCTAGGTGAGCAATCATTCATATTTATGATGAATCATCTGTGTGAGGATTGGTTGCTTTGTGCTTCTAGAATATACTTCACCTAGCCTTGCTTGCATCTTCACTACGTGCGTACAGCCGTGAGAAACAGCGGCTCACGTACTGCCTGTGCTCAGGTGGGCGCTTTGTGCCGTGCCCTTCAACTCTGTGACCCAGCAGTTACAGCGTATAGCGCTTGTGGATTTTGGTAAAGTTTCTTATTTCCAGAGAATTATTTCTCTTCAAACTGCTATAGCGAAACTGAGCACAGCTTGGTAATAACACACAAATTCATTTGAGTGTTTTGAAGTTCTGTGATGGTAGAAATTTGATTTGCACAGTCCAGTTAATATGAAAATGAATGTAACACTTCCAAGTAATTTCCTTAAAGGCTACAGCGATAAGTGAAGCACAGTCCCAGTGTAGGTAGGACATCTTTCTTCAGGGAGGTATTTTTTATATCATGATGTACAATGAAAATAGCTTTACAACATGAAGAAAGGTACTGAATAGAACCCTGCTCATGATTTTTGTTCTAGTTCAGTGATGGGGACACTTTCTAGCAAAATGTTCTTTCTTTCACGCACCCTGAGAAATGAAACTTTTTTTTTTTTTTTTCAAGTTTGTGTGGGATGGCTCTAACCTTTTCGGAAAGCTCTATTATGCATTATTATTATTTTTAAGGCTATACCTACAAAAACATGCAAAACCCAACCCTACTTCCTTCCTTCTTCCACCACCTATTTTGAAAGAAGGAGTAATGAGCAGTATAAGAACCACTGGTATCATTGGCATAGAACACGGACGCATGACTGTGCCGTAGTAAAGTGGTGGGCTGCTGTGTTTCAGTGTTTGTATGTTTAAAAAAAAAAATCGTCCGATTCGTGCTTCAACTAAGTTACTTTGAAACTGAAATTTTTTTACTAACCTTTCTTTTTTGTTTTCTTTCTTTTAGCTGAGCAAGAGCATCCTGCTCACGAAGCTCTGCACTAGCCTTTTAGTTTCGCTCGTTAGTCCACTTTTAAAATTGTAAATGTAACAAGCAAGAATGCGGTTATGCAGGTGTCGCATATAGTAATATGCTGAAATAAAATGTAGCTACCTTTGTTTCAAGTATGGTCTGCCCTGCATTCCCCCTGTGTAGTTAGGAGGGAGGTGAAACTGAGAATCATTTATTGCATGAAAAATACGCTTGACTAATCTGAAACAGCAGCATCATAGCAAAGCAGACAAAAAACATTGATAGATGGAGCTTCCTCTGGGCTGTGCAGTTAACTGCCTTTGCTCTAAGTCATTCTAAGGGCAGAAAGACAAGTAGGAAGTTGAAGAGTCCAGGGTTTGACTTAAAAAAATTAATTAACTTTTATTGGTTTAAAAAAAAAAAAAAGAAATGTACCATTCTGTGTCAGACTGCTTAGCCAGCAACACAGTTTTGAGACAATGTAATTAAAACATCTTTGTTTAATCTTTTCTTTAAGTTTTGTAAGTTAAAATAATCATGATTTAATGGTTTAATTTTTTTATATTGTAGCATAGCACACAAGTAAGTATGGGGCAAAGGATGAAAATCTCTGTAGTGCTTAAACTAGTATTATTGCTTTATTTTTAAAATTCTAGAATCTGTACTGGTTGCCAGCTGCTTACTGAATCATAGGCGGTTAATTGTAATGTAACTCCTCAGTGTCCAGTTACATGTGAATGTTATCACTACAAAACAGCTTAGATACTCAGGCTCTTATATTTTGGTAAAGAAAAGCCAAGTTTTTCTGTCTGAACACTGACCTTCATGTGTTTTGTCTGTGCAGTTGTCACTAGAGGCTGTGCGAGGAGCTGCCTACAACTAAGTATTTTCTCTTAAGTTCTTGAGATTTACTTTCTCTGCTTTATGATTGCAGAAAGCTTTGTCATTAAAACCAGTATGTGCCTTTTGCACTAGTAGCTTTTGATTTTATGACATGTGATTTTAGTAATAAAATCATAGGGTAGTTCAAGTTGGAAGGGGTCTCTGGAGGCTTCAAGCTCATGCTGTATGCTTGCAGCTTGCTGAATCCACAAATTGGTTATAATGAATTACAGGGAAGGATGTGTTTGGATTTCATAAAACAAAATGCCTTTCAAAACTCAGACGCTGTTCTGGATTAGTGAAAGTGAGCATGCCAATTTCTATATCCTTGCCAGTTTATTCTAAATTGTAGAGAGAACTGTGATTACATTCAGTTCTACTGCCTTAAAGAGGTTGTGAAAATACAATCATAGTTTACGAATTTTTTTCTCATCTCATGGAGGTGAAATTTTGTTTTTGAAGAAGAGTCCGTTTTCTGTTATAATACGGGAAAACTAGTGACCACTGCCATAAGCACAGACTTGAGGTTGTCTTATCCCAGAACCTATTAAGGGTTTTTTAGGTCAAGTCATAAAGAAGGATCAGTAGGCTAATACATGATTGTCTCTTTGTAGTGTAATGCTATGGAATGGGGAATACAGTCTTTATTTCTTCCCATTTTGAAGTGATCTTTATAAAGGGTGCCTGATCTTACTCGTGAAGAGCCTTAATGTTAATTTAGGCATTGGTTATTTGCATAGCATTATACGTAGCAAAAATTCAGCAGCCAGATTTGAGTGAAATAATTAAAATTACATGTAGCACATGGTGCTCATCCTTCCCTAAACCTAAGGGGAAGGAGGGGAACCTTTTTTTTTTTTTTTTAATAAGGGAAATTCATATATTCAGTAAAATTTAATTTTTTATAATCCTGTAAGCATCTAACTTGGTTCTGTATTGTGCCCAAATAAGCTTCACAATTGGTTCTCCCTCATATAATGAAATGTTGCTTAGGGGTTAAAAAAGGGGTTAAAAAGTTAGTACTTCTTTTATTACTAGGATGTACGTATCTTTGCATTTATCAGTGCTTCCTATATGTCTGCTTTTTCCTTCCTGTCTTGTGCTCAGTAGCTTTTCTGTGTTCACTATTTTCTGGTGGTTGCTTTCAGTTCTGTTTATGTGTGGGTCTTGCTATTTTCTTTGTAATAAACTCTGCGACTGACTTAAAATACTTAGATTTACTTAAACTGTATATGGAGTTCAGAACCCTGAAATAATTGAATGAAAATAAAATATGAGTATCATGGAAAATGATGTAAATTGTAACCTTATTTTTAAATCTCAGTGTTATTTTTTTCAAGAGTATTATTTTTATTGCTTGGCTGTTCTAGGACATCAGGATCTTTCAACAGTTGTGAAAGTTCTTACTATTTAGAGAAAGGATGACTGAAGGAAAACAGGAAAAAAATAGTTTCAAGAATATGCTACGCTGATGCATTGTGGTAAAACTAATCAAGAGGTCTATCTTGAATTCAATGTCAAAGTAGTTTAAATATTGAAGCAGTACTAGATGTCATCTGCTGATTGGTTTCTTCATTCTCATGAAGTGTCTGAAGTTTGATAAACTCAATCAGTTGTAAAAGAGCTTTTATTTTATCAGTGGGTGGGGCAGCAATCACTTTCATGTGGTGAGGTCTTAGTTTATTTGCCACATCACTGTGCATGACATAACCCAGTGTGTGCTCTAGATGTGATGTATGCACCAATGATTCTGGTTCTAGTTAAAGATAATCAATACTTGCTTAGTCACAGCCTATGATCTGGCTATGTAATGGCACATAATTTGCTCTGAAGGTTAGTGATTATTTTGGAAAGGAAGAGGACCACCTAAGATGTTCCCCCTTAGCCTTTGGGTTTTTTTTCTACTGCTAGACAGCCATTTCACATCAAAGCCTTCTGAAGGAGAAGCAGCAAATTCATTCTTGAGTTCAAAACAAAATCTTAGACACCTTTTATGTTCAGTTTTTTGGTTTTTTTTTTTTGCCTATAGCTTTTAGTCAAAATCATGAAGTCTCTAGAAAGATCTAAAGCAATTCACCTCTTCAGAAGTCTTAACTGGTTATTAGATGTTAACTGCCTTCTTGGGAGAGTATTCAGAAAGAAGTTAAAAAATGCTTTATTTTTCTTTGAAATTTATTCCAACGTAGATGATAACAGTTATTCTTGTTTAACTCATTTGATCAGAACTAGTCCTTGTAGAAGGTGATGCCTCTATAGTACACTGGTCACTCCAAAAGCAATGCCTCCTATTTATTTCCATGGAAACTGCAACAGTCATGAAGAGCACCATAACACTATTTGGTAGAGCAAACTCAGCTATGAAACACTATTTTTCAACCTAGTCACTACCATTAGCTATGCCTTCTTCTTGCTAGTGACGAACGAGAGCCTGCATGACATGCTTAAAAAAATCTGCTCCCGTGGAGGTGACCTACTGTTTCAGTGCTGACATCATTGCTAGGAAAATGTCCA